AAAAAAAAAAAAAAAAAAAAAAAGAGGAAGAAAAAAACGTAAGAGAAGAAAACTTTTTAAGTGCCAAGCTTGTCCCGTCACCAAAAAAAAAAAAATAATTAAAAAAAAGAATGAACTTTTTTTAATCAAATGAACTACCCCCATAAAAAAAAAAAAGAAGAAGAATAAGAAGAGAAGAAGATAATGAAGTAATCGAAAATTATTCCTGTGTTACTTACAAATTTATTTAACGTTGTAAATTTAATCGTTCCTCGAGGATTATTTATTTATTTTTTTTTTTTTTTAATTATGTCTGTCAATTATTAACAAATAGAACAGAAAAATAAGCTTCAAACATATTCGAGCACGTTATAATGCCTTTTTTATATATTTTTTTTTTTCAAACGTTATATCATTCATCGCAAAACCAAGTGTAAGTGATGAAATAAATAAATAAATAAAAAAAAGAAAGAGAATAAAAATTATTAAAAAACCAAAGAAAGAACGAAAAAAGATAAATGAGAAAGTAAATAATGTAAAGGAGAGAGATAAATAATCAAATAAAACCAAAAAAAATCATCAAAATCAGATATTGCACACTAAATATATACAAATTAATATTTATACAGTATATATATACATACATACGTATATGTTAGCATAAACTTTATTAAAGATGCATTTAAAAAAAAAGAAAAAAACAAAATGTTTAAAGTAATATCACGTCAGTTTGAATTACAATTTTTCTAAGTTCAATGACACGAATATACGATATGATACACATTGATACTTTATAGTATATACAAGTTATTCTAAGAAATCATTAGAAGAATTTGATACTACTTTATTACCGTCACGGAATGTAATCATGTGGTTCGATGACACGACGTCATGGAATCTCAATTCACTTTGAAAGAGTGGTTAAATATTTCAAATAAAACAAAAAAAAAAACAAAAAAAAAACAAAAAAAAAAAAGATATCATCTCTTGTCACGTAAAGTTGAGAGGGTGTCAGCATTTATTTCAAAGAGAACTTTATCAAGAGAATAGTAGTAGCAAGTAGAGTTTATTGATCGATTAATTTTCTAACATATACGTATTATTATTATTATTATCTCGCACAAAATGTCACATTCTGAGAATAATAATAAAAAAAAAAACAAAAAAGAAATGGAAAGAGAAAAAGAAATGAGAAAGAGAGAAAGAGAGAGAGAGAGAGAGTAGTAAGAGTGAAAGAGAAAGATAGAAATTAGTAATTGAAATATAAAAGAATGTTGAGAGCTTACCAAATTACGAAATGTTTTTATAGCATACCTTCACCACGTTGGCATTGAAAAAGCTGACGAGAACTTGGTAGGGGGGTGTCTTAAATAGGAGCGCAATGTCAATCAATATTCAAACAAATGGTGCAACAAGCATTTAGTGTTATATTGCATTTGGTTTTTTTTTTCTTGTTTCTTGATAATTATTACATTTGATGTATGAGTGATAGAAAGTGAGTGAAAGAGAAAGAGAAAGATAGAAAAGTTATAATACATAGCAAACGAAATAGTAAAAGACATCTTATTAGAGCGTGTCAAAGTTAAGATTATTAGATGAACGAATAAGATAGATTGATTATATAGATAAATATATAGCAGTATAGAATAGAAATGCAAGGCAACATCGTTCGATCATTGTTTATTGATTTACAACGGCTCCATCTTTCGTACATGCAACGGCGTGCACTCAACTCCCGCGATTTTTACAATTTTTTATTCTAAATAAAATTAAAAAAAGAAATACCCCCAGAACCCCCGAAGTGAGAAAAGAGAGAGAAAGAAAAACGTTTTTTTTTTTTTTTTATAGCTACGAATTAACCCTTTGCGGACTATACCGTCACATATATCATAAACCATCAATACATGATAAGTTTAGTAAAAGCAATTGATACATTTTCAACTGAAGTACGTGTAAGTAGAAAAATATGATTTAAAAATTTCAAACGCGTATCGTGATAGCAGGTGGAACCTGGGGAACGCTTGGATTTGAACAATCCTGACCGCAAAGGGTTAAAAATAAGAAATGTAATACACCGTATAAATTACAAAATATATTACTACGTATGTGGGAGTTGAGCGCACGTGAACGTGATTACCTTGTTGCTGTTGATTTTGAAGCTCACGAGCCTTTCGACGCAATCTTTCAGCCCTTGTAGGTCTTGGGATTGGTACGGCACCCGGTAATGTACCCATGCTACGAGAATTATCCGAGCGTTTAAGACTCTTGTTTCCTGATGCAGTAGTAGTAGCAGTAGCAGCAGCAACAGCAGCAGCCAAGTGCGACATGCTGCGACTCATGCTTGAACCACTGAGAGGCTGACTGTTTTGCTGTTCCGTCAATGTACTAAGCTCTGTCGGACGTTTCCTAGGCTGAGATAACTGGTCCAGTCTCGACATCGAGTAAGTCCTACCTGGGGAACGTGCGAAGGCCTTGGCCGATGAGCTACGTCCTGACGTTGGTGGTCCATCACGTGGGGACGGTATCGTCGGCATCAGGTCGGTACGTCTCCTGTTCACTCGTAGATAAACTGAACTTGGTGTTCCAGGTGTTCCGTCACTATCCTCACCTAAAACATTGAAACATTCATTTAGTATAGATATATCTATTGATTATTATTCAATATAATTTCATCTCAAAAAAGGGGAAATCAAAAAGAAAAAAGATCATTAATTCGATTCCTTCGACAATGATGATATTATTAAAAGTTTGCTACGATAAATTCAAGGGTCATTTTTTTTAGGATAGAACTATACTGATTGTTGTCTATCTTTTATAATATTGTTCGTGTAAAATTGAAAGTAATTTGAAATGAAAAAAATATACGAGTATATATATATATATATATATATGATAAGTAACCAAATATGCACACAGAGATAATACACGTTTTCGTAGGTACTCACACAAAAAGATAAAAGACAACAACAACAACGAACCAACCTTCTTCTTCTTCTTATCATGCTACGATTCCTTTTTCTTTAATTGGTCTTTTTTTTCTATATAACAACGTTCACGAAATAATCCTTTCTCGCGACAAGCAATACAAAGCGACTAAGGTAGAATATAAGAAGATGTTGCGTGTACGACACACGTACGAAAGAAAGTCTTTAGATTGTCAAAGGAGGAATAAATGTAGTAGTTGTTGTTGTCGTCGTCGTCGTCGTCATCGTCGTCATCGTCGTCGTCGTCGTCGTAGTTGGCTAGCAAACGGCGGTGTAACATCCCACACATTAATCGATACTTCGTCTAGAGTGCGCGACTCACCGTCGTCCACGAGCAATTTTATTATTCTAACGTCAGCACACGTTCTTCTGTCTTGTTGTCCGTGGTGCAATCGAAAGCCACATGCGTACAAGGTAAAGAGAAGAAGAAAGCAGCAGTCACAAGCAGCAAGGAACTACTCACCAGCAATACCAAAGCGAGCGATCAATCCCTCACCATACATAAACACACATACATACATACATACACAACACACCGATAACGGAATTTTGCTATACCATCCTTAAGCTCTTCGTGCAATGCGCAGCATAGCAACATGAAACTTACAACGACCATTTAGAAAAATGAAATCAAATAAAATATATATATATATATCTCTGCTCCTACACTTTAGAATTAATTTTATTGTTATAATATAAAGACAATTTTATAAAAGTTTATTTTGAACGTTAAATTTACGCGAATGTTTTGGATGAAACTTGCAAATATTGTTTGAATGAACTAAAAGGGATGAATTAAATATTTAGGATATGTTTCATTATGGTATTAAAAATCAACTATATATTATTAATTAGCAAAATCATTTTTGTGTTCAATTCGTAAATCTAGTGTTAACGTTATAATTATAAAAATACAAAAATAAAATCAATCCTCCGTTGGACTTTTTTTTTTTTTTTTAATCGCGTGATCGAACGTGCATATATACGATGAATCCTAAATAATTGATTTCATACTTTCTTATTAAATATATTGCATTAGAAATTCTATACGATCATCATAATAAAATGAATGTATCGTTATATATGAATCACTCGTATATAGGTAATGTGTTTTTATACGGTGTAGGTGTAAAAATTTAAATGGAAATTACAAACCATTGATTAACGTAACAAAAAAAAATAACAGAGATTTGCATTCGTAATATAAATAATAATGAAAAATGATGATGTATAATGAAAAAATAAAAAAATATGTGTGTGTGTGTGTGTGTGTATGAATGTATGAGTTTGCAGAAAATAATAATTAAACGAACAAACACATGCTTGCTGAAGTGTAATACACGTATGTATAATAAATACATATATATATTCGTACTAACAATAATAATTTTGCGGGAGACAATCGAACGAGCGAGTGTTAATATAAAATGGTGGACAGAGAGACAAGGATCGGCAAATCAATCAGAGAGAGAGAGAGTGAGAGTGAGAGAACATAACAGAAAGAGATAATAGAAATAGAAAGATAAAGAGAGAGAGAGAGAGAGAGAGAGAGAGATAGAGAGAGATAGTGATAGAGATAATAGAAAGTGAAAAAGAAATATAAAGAGCGTAGTATATATATGTATATATATTTTCCCGTGTGTCGTCGCAGACTTCCGGCTTCAGGACTCACCACTGACAGCCCGCTGAATCATTGGACGCCTAGTATCGCTATCAGACTTATCATCGATGGCAAAGATGTCTGTAGTAGGAGGAAGAGAGAGGCTTGCTCTCTTATGTTTGCCAGGGGTTAAGGGAGGATCGGGGCTAGTATTCCAATTGAACACCTCGTACATGGACGAGGACATTCTCATATCTGCAAACAAATCATCCAACTCTGGAACATTAGCTTTCATTCCAATGACTATCTCGGGAAGAATAGTAGAATAGTTGTAGTAGTAGTAGTAGTACAGCAGTATAGCAGTAGTAGTAGTAGTAGTAGTAGTAGTTGTAGTAGTAGTAGTAGTAGTAATAGCAAAAAAAAATAAATATATATGTATGTACATATTATATTTACTGACAACGTAATAATTTGGTTCAGGTATTATTGATATTTAAAATGTTTGAAATATCAATATATACGGTGATTGGAAAAAATAAAAAAAAATATTTGAACGTTATGGTATTAACAATTTTAAAGATTTATAGTAAAAAATGTAATATACAAATAAATATAAAAAATTTATATTAAATATATTAATA